ACTGCCCCAGTAGTCAAATCATACACTGCTTAATCCCTACTGCCCCAGTAGTCAAATCATACATTGTTCAATCCCCTGCCCTATTTATGCCTCCTCCACAAACTCCGCGCTCACCTTGTCGTTGCGAAGACTGCCCCCGATCACGCTCTCCGGGTTCTCCCCAAACACAACCGCAACCTCCTCCAGCGTCTTGCCCGACGTCTCCACAAACGTGAAGATCACAATCACCAGCTCCACAGCAATGATGCAGCAGTACACAATGTAGTACTTCCACGCAATCGCGTCCATCGCAATCGAGTTCACAAACCCGTTGTAGATCTGCCACATCTGCTGGATCAGCAGGCACACGTTGATGCCCTTCGTCCGGATCGTGAACGGCAGGATCTCCGTCAGGTACAGGTACGGCAGCCCGTTCAGCCCAAAGTTGTACGCCAGGTAGTACAGGAAGATCATCGCCAGCACACCCTTGCCCAGCGACTTGTCCTTGAAGTCCCGCTGCTGGTTGATCGCAGACAGCACCGTCCAGATCACGTAGAACAGCAGCATCATCGCCGCAGACGAGATGAACATCGTCCGTCTCCTGAACATGTTCACCATGAACGCGATGATCATCGAGATGCCGAAGTTGTAGATCTGCAGCCCCCCGTTGAACACCAGCTTCTCGCTGGCGCCCGTGATCCCGATCGAGTTCAGCACCTTGTTCAGGTAGTACGACACCAGCCCGTTACCCGACAGCTGCATCATCGTGCCGATCATGAACACCAGCACCATCCTCTTCCGGTTGGCCGGCGTCTTGAACAGGTGCTTGTACGAGTACTCCTGCGCAATCTTCTCGCTCTGGATCGCCGTCTGGATCTCCGCCATCTCGAAGTCCACCAGCGCGCCGCCCACCTCCTCGTTGCCGTCCGCGTGGTACTTCAGCAGGATCGCCCGCGCCTCGTCGATGCGGCCCTTCGAGATCAGCCATCTCGGCGACTCCGGAACAAGCCAGATCGTCGCCAGCTGGATCGCCGGGAACGCCACCTGGCAGATCGACGGGATGCGCCAGCACCACTGGTGCTTCATGTTTCTCGTGCCAAACGACACCCACGCAGACACAATCGACCCCAGGTACCAGCACGAGTTGTAGAACGTGGTCACGACCTGGCGGTGCGACGGGTACGTCAGCTCGGAGATCAGCGGCGGCGACGGAACGATCCCGATGCCGTTGCCCACGCCGATGATGATCCGCGCAAACAGAAACATCGTGTAGTTGGTCGTGCAGCTCTGCACAACGCACCCGATCACCATGATCACGTCGCCCAGCATGATGGCTCTTCTTCGGCCAAGATAGTCCGAGATCTGCGACGCGACGAAAAACGACAGCGTCACCCCAAACACCACGCCGTTCGACAGCGCGCCCAGCACGGCGCCCTCCGGGTTCCCCATGTACTTGTTCCACTCGTCCAGCGTCTGCAGAGAGTTCAGCAGCGAGCCGTCGAAGCCGGTGTTTGTGGACGACAGCGACACGATGAACATCAGGGCGTTCAGCCGGAGCATGAACGGCACCCTCAAGTACGAGTACTTCCCGTAGTCGGGCAGGTACTTGTGTATCTCATTTTCGCCAAGTTGAGCTTTGTCTGACATTGCAACACAGTTTCGGGCGCGCGTGGCATTTATAGTGGACGCTGCATGGCGGGGAAGCGGAGCGTCACCAGATCTGAACGTGGAGATACCCCGATAAAATTCCGAGCTATTGTTCTCCACAGAAATGCAGCTATTGTATCACCCCACAACTATAGTTTGTCCGTTTACGGAACAAGCTTAGTCAGTGCATGCAGCGCGTTTTTGCGGGGTCAGAAATCGCCTACAGAGATACCGATGGGTCCCCCCATAAGAGTCTGCGCACTTTTCTCTCTCCAAAATGACCTCGGAACTCGACGTTGACGAAATTTTACACCGCCTCACTCTCAAAGAGATGGCCACGCTGCTGTCCCTGAGCGACTTCTGGCACACTGCTGAGGTGCCTCGCCTGGGGATCCCCGCCATCCGGCTCAGCGACGGGCCCAATGGGGTCCGGGGCACCAAGTTTTTCCGCGGCGTGCCGGCTGCCTGCCTGACCTCGGGCACCGGTATGGGCGCCACGTTCAACACCGACCTGCTAGTCGAGGCCGGCGAGCTGATGGCGGAGGAGGCGCGGCACAAGGGCGCCCATGTGGTGCTGGGTCCCACGTGCAACATGCAGCGCGGCCCGCTGGGCGGCAGAGGCTTCGAGTCGTTCAGCGAGGACCCTGTGCTTTCCGGCATGGCCGCCGCCAGCGTCATCCAGGGAATCCAAAAGAGCGGCATTGCGGCAACCATCAAGCACTTTGTTTGCAACGACCTCGAAGACGAACGCAGATCGGTCAACTCGATCGTCTCGGAAAGAGCTCTTCGCGAAATATACCTCCTCCCGTTCCAGCTGGCCATCAAACACGCCAACCCCAGATGCCTGATGACAGCCTACAACAAGGTGAACGGCGAGCATGCGTCGCAGTCGAAAGGGCTGCTGACGGATGTGCTGCGGGAGGAATGGGGCTGGGACGGCCTCGTCATGTCCGACTGGTTCGGTGTCTACTCGGTCAAAGCTGCCATCGATGCAGGGCTGGACCTGGAGTGTCCCGGACCGCCTGTCGTCAGAAAGATCGACACCCTGGTCCACGAGGTCTCGTCCAGGGAGGTCGCGATCACCGTGGTGCACGACAGAGTTCGAAGGGTGCTGGAGCTGGTGAAGCACGCTCTCAAGAGCGGCGTGCCTGTCGACGGCAAGGAGGACGCAGAAAACAACACCGCGGAAACCGCGGCGTTTGCGAGACGGCTGGCGTCGGAGGCGGTGGTTCTGCTGAAGAACGAGGGCAAGCTGCTGCCCCTAAAGCCCGCTGCGAAGGTCGCGGTCGTCGGTCCCAACGCCAAGTTCGCCAGGATTTTTGGCGGCGGCTCCGCGTCCATGACCCCGTACTACGCCGTCGACATCTACTCGGGGGTGCAGTCCAAAGTCGACTATGCGGTGCCGTATGCTCTTGGCTGCTCGATCGAGAAGAACCTGCTCGATCTGGGCAAGCTCTCGGTGTACGACGGCAAGCAGGGCGTCCGCTGCAGAATCTACAAAGAGCCCGCAGACTGCCCACAGCGCACTCTCATCGACGAGTTCCACTTGGACTCGACGAAGCTCTCTCTGTTCGACTACAAGAACGCACAGCTGGAGGGCAATCTCTTCTTCATGGACTTCGAGGGCGAGCTGCACGCGGAAGAAGCGTGCGAGTACGAGTTCGGCGTCTGCTGTCTGGGCACGACGCTGCTGTTCTTGAACGACGAGCTGTTCATCGACGACAAAACTCACCAAAAGCTGAGGAAGGGCGGGATGGGCGTGTGCACCGTGGGCGACGTCAGGGCCAGGCACCTGGAGAAAGGCGAGGTGGTGAGGTTCAGAATCGAGTTTGGCTCGGCGCCCACCCTGCGCGCCGGAGACGCCGACGCGGATGGGGGCGGGTTCATGCATGTCACGGCCATGAAGAAGGAGCGCGAAGACGACCTCATTGCTCGGGCCCGCGAGGTTGCCGCGGCCGCAGACTGCGTCGTGCTGTGCCTCGGCACGTCGCCCGACTGGGAGAGCGAGGGTTTCGACAGAACCACGATGGACCTGCCCGGCGCTCAGGACAGACTGGTCGAGGAGGTGCTGTCCGTTAACAGGAACGTGATCGTAGTCAACCTATCCGGCACGCCTGTTGCCATGCCGTGGATAGACCAGGTGCCGGCCGTGGTGCAGGGCTGGTTCAACGGGATGGAGAGCGGCAATGCTATAGCCGATGTGCTATTTGGAGACGTCAACCCTTCCGGAAAACTGAGCTTGTCGTTCCCACGCCGACTCGAGGACAACCCGGCCTTTCTCACCTTCAGATCCAACAAGGGAGAAGTCGTGTACGGTGAAGACGTCTTTGTCGGCTACAGGTACTACGACAAGGTGGGGCGGCCTCCTCTCTTCGCCTTTGGACACGGGCTGTCATACACTTCGTTCGGCCTCCAGAACCTGGCCGTCTCCATTACCCAAACCACCTTGGTTGCAACAGTGGACGTGACCAACCAGGGGGACATCCCCGGCAAAGAGGTGGTGCAGCTGTACGTCAGCCCGCCCGAGACGTCGGAGGTCGAGAGACCAAAGAAGGAGCTGAAGGGGTTCCGCAAAGTGCTCGTGCAGCCGCACGCAACTGAAACCGTCTCCATTGAGGTTCCCCTCAGGTACGCCTCGTCGTACTTCGACGCGGAACGCCACCAGTGGTCTGTCGAAAAGGGAGAGTACATGGTACTTGTCGGAAACAGCTCGGCGTCTCCGCTGTTGAGTGCCAGCTATGAGCT